TCCAAGTATTAATCCATTGTTGGTACACATATATCTTAAACCTCTCTATGTGATAAGCCAAAGCTTTGGATGGCACTTGACAACAATCATATTACTAACCAATGCATATATACTTTTTTAGTGATGCTTTGACATTGTCCATGTTAGAGTTAAGTTACCTTGGCATTGATGTTTCCCAAATATTCATTCTTCATGACAGAATTTGATAAATTCTCATATTGAAATGATATTATTACTCACTTTTGATAAACTTTAACAAAAATTAAATGATCTCATATAGTAGCCGCATAACTTAAAATAGATTTCTTTTAATACACAAGTAGGAAAATCATTACATTTTATATACAACAATAAAGAGTAAGGTTATTCTTCTCAAAAGGGAAAACAAAGAAGAAAGAAAAAGTTCAAACATAGCTAGAAAAAGAAGCTCTAATCCAAATCACCTCAGAGTAATAGTACTTGTATATCATCAACTTTGCTCCAAAGATAGGGACAAAACAAACAAAACCTCTTATCTATGATCAAATTGGAGTGAGTTTTTGCATAGCAATATATAAAGATATAAACTACCAAAGATATATAGCTCTAGCCTTTAAAAGCAATGGAGCAAGCTTGTTTTGAACATTGAGACTTATAACTTCATCAGTACCACCTATGAATTGTTGTCCTATGAATACTGCAGGTACACTTGGTCTACAACCAAGCTGAATCAGTGCTCTCTCTATTTGATATCCATTTGCCATTTTATCAATCTCAATAATTATAGGCTCGGCTCCAAAATTTCTCATAAGTGCTTGCACTGTGTGAGTCATGATACAAGTGCTTTTGCTGAACATCACAACTGCTTTGTTCTCTGTCAATGATGCTAACAAATCCATTTCTATGATGTAATTTGGTTAGTTGCTAGAGAGGTTATATGGAAATTTTTGTTTGATTTGGTTTGTGGAAATTTGAGATTGAGAGGACATGTATTTATACCAGAATGGATTGTTTAGACATATAGAAGAATAAACATCTGAAAAAGAATCAACCTTAAAAAAGTTATGTTCATGAAGGGATTCTCTAAACTCACACAAGTTAGCACGCAGTGGAAGTGAGCTACATTTCTATGTACAAGTGTTTGATTCCTAGATAAACTTTGAGGCTAAACAATTATGCATTTCACTCAAAATGTAAAATCGTAACAAAAACGTGTCTGACACATATGTCAGTGTTCACTGACAAAATACTAAAACATGTCATTAAATTTATTTTATTTATAAATTTTATGATGAAGTGTCATGTTTCGTGTCAGTGTTTGATAGATTGTTAGAGTTCATTCAAATTTAAAATTTATTTGTTAGTAAATTATATGTAAATTTTGGTGCTTGAATTTGTGGTTCTCTCCTGTCTAGATAATCCTCAAGTGATCCAATTATTTTTGGATGCCAAAAGAAAATATCAAGAGATTCCCACAATGTCTTTTCTAGAGGCAATGAGTAGTAATTTATGTTTGTGGGATGAAATGTATCCAACCCAAATTGTTGGCAATATTAGACTCCAGCATGAAGCCACCCATATTTGCATTGAAATATTAATGAGGCAATAAAAATGGTAATGATCAAGGTTTTAAGTAGAGGTGATTTCAAGAATTTTAATATTTGAGCTATTAGAGATGTTATGAGCCTTCTTGTTTTAGATTTAAAAAATAGATTTTTGGTTTTTTTTAAATGAATTTTATAAATTTTTTTAAAAAAATATTATAAGTTTTTTTAATTATCTTATTTAAAATTGAAAGATAAATTTTGACATTTCATATCATAAATATACATTATTAAAATTAAAAATTTAAATTTAAAATATTTAAAATATAAAAATATCATAATTTAAAAAAAAATTACAATTCAAAAATAATTTTTATAAAAAATTATTTAAAATAACTTTAAAAATAAGTGATTTATTAAAATTTTGATATAAATAAGGCCTGAATTTTGACTTATTTCAATATTTAATTGACATAAGTATACTACTTATTGAATTGAAAATTTGTTTTCTTTATATAAAAAACAAAGTAGATTTTTCTTGAATGGCTTTAATATAAAGTAGATTAAAAATTGTGAAGCCACTTTTTATTATGACATGGCATAAACTTAAGCAATGGTTGTAATCTGGTCGGTAAGAGGTACAATATTTAATCAAGTAGCTGTATATTAATTAATATTGGATTCGCACAAGTTAAAATGCCAAATTCTGAAAGCTGAATTGAAAGGTGAGAATAGAAAGAGATTTTTGTTTCATGGGAAGATGCTGATTTAAAGAAAAACTATTGCATAATAGCATTTGCTTTTTACCACTTTAGATGGATGGATGGTCCTTGATATAGTGGAGAATGGGAGAAAAAAGAAAACGCTAACACCGAATTTTACCATTTCTTACACATTGTACTACTACATTACTATAAGGAAAAAGATCCTAAGAAGATGTTTTGTACTCCTATATGCTTAAAGCTTATTATATGTTTCATTAAATAGTGATGTTTTATTGTACTATGTACTGCCACATAAGTGAGGAGGAAAGCAAGATATTATTTAGGTGATTTGCTTCTATTAAAATATATTTGAATTACACTTTCATCCTCGGTTATATTTAACTATATAATTACCTTTTTTGAAAAATAAATATAAAGTAAATTATACTTTTGACTTATGAGAGATATTTCAATTTTATGCTTTGAAAATATTTTAAGTTGTTTGGCGAAATAGGTCTTCAATTAAATTTAAGGAAAGTCAAATTTAGTATAATCGAGTGCATGATTAGTTGATACGAAGATAATCGAAGTTAACATAGTTGATTTTTAAACTATATGAGAACTCATTTAGTCGTTTATATATTACTGGAGATTCCAACCGATATCAATTTATGAAAATGTAATTATTTAAATGTGTAATTTTTAAAAGTACAATGATGAACAATCTCTTGTTGTGTAGGGTAGTGGAAAGATCGGTCTCTGGTTTTCTCTCATTAGGAATTTACTCTCTTCCTATTATACGAATGAAGTATATATAGAAGGCTTCTCGGGCCTAGGTGTTTACCCAGGGAATTGGTAAACAATCGTTGATCTTCCAAAAGGTTACTTATTTGGTGACTCGCAGGATCGATCAGATTGATCCTAAGACATGGTTGATTTTGGGGTTTTGACTAAGTTTAATAATGGTTGAATGACAAGAAAATAAAGAAGCTTTATGTAAATTGCATGAAGAAGAAAACTTGGTAGAATAAAGGAAGGCTTGAAATGAAGGCTTCGACTGGAAAAGTAAATGAAGAGCAATAAAGTTCTGGAAAATAAATGACTTTGATTAATTAAAGTGGTGTTTCACACATACATTCTCAACAATTCTTTCTCTCACGCTGGGTACTCGAATCTATATGAGTAACTTGTATACAATTGTGAACACACGCGAAAAACTACGTGAACTACTAATATTTATACTAGACACATCCCAAGTAACCGTCGGGCAGTTACGCTGCTTCGAGATGACTCCACTTGGCACGTTCACAGCGTTCGACGCTCCAGATCTTGGCACGTTGCACTTGGTAACCGCTGGGAACCGTTTTCCCTCCAAACGTTTGAATCTCAAACCGTTCCACTCTGAGCATTTCGACAGAACCAGCTAGTCGAAATCATTCTTCAGCTTTAATGGCTTATATCAATAAAAACAAGGGTGTCGAATTTAGGAGCCAACAAATTGCCCCCCAAGAATGCTTTATTTCGACTCTGAAAAGAAAAAGGCATTCTTTGAAATTCCATTCGACAACTGTCTTTCATTCTTAGCCACAAATTAACCTGTGCACTTTTTGTCTTCTACCAACCACTGACAATCCCAAGAAAAAGCCATCATTTCACCCGTACCTAAGACGTCACCTCAGTACGGCGTTTAGCGTGCCCAATGTCTTTTCACAAATTATCATCATGACAATTTCCCAAAAACGAGGGCGCACGCTGCACCTTTTCATTTCTGCAGAACGGCTATGTCAGCGGGGGGACGCCACGTGTCCCACTATCTTCTGCAACATTAAATGGCCTCGAATTTGGGGATTTCCTAACCACTATAAATAGCGCTAAGTACCCATTGTGGGACTTTTTCACGCTATTCTGCATTCAAACTTCCTTGCTGAACATAAAATCTCTGCAAACTTGCAAATACTTTATTCTTCACTTCACCTTCAACCTTAACTCAACAATGGCCTCAGGTTCCTCCAACGCTCCTAGTTCTAACATTCCTTCCAGAAATGCTAAACCCAAAATCTTCTCAACTGTCCCCATAGTTACCCCTACAGGCCAACGAAGGGTTCCTGAACCCCTAGAAACTGCTGAGCGTGAAGCTTATTCACACCAACTAATGATTCCGGTTGGATGCTCCAACCAAATCTTCGCCATGTCTGGCCCGTTATCCCCATGCATCGATGAAGCCATGAAGATCAAGAACTTCTTTCCAGTGCTTGAAAAGCTCAAACCTGTTGGGTGCTCTAAAAAGATGCAGAGGACAACGAAGATCCCGCTAAGGAGAAGATAGATCTTCGCTTCTTCAATAGGGGTGTTAGGGCTTTCAGGTCTAGCCCTAGCCTCACACCTGACTACAGCGCTTGGCTAGAGAAGATGGAAAAAAGCCAGACTTCGATCTGGAAGAACTTGGGGATATACGACCTAGTCATGCTGTCGAAGACGGGTCTCAACTACTCCCCTGAGATGCTGATAGCCTCCTTGCTTTTCTGGGATTACACTCATTTCACTTTCCACCTTCCTTGTGGGATGCTAACACCCACGCTTTTCGACGTGGCCGCCATCACCGGCCTTCGACCCACTGGGGATTATTTCGACCCAGAGGAAATATCGGAGGATCAGATTGGATTCTCAGCTACGAAACCCACCTACACCACCTATATCAACCATTACCATGATAGGTCGACAGCCACTGTGACGGATGTAGAGCATATCGCGTTTCTAGCCCTTTGGCTGTCACGCTTTGTGTTCTGTACAAAGTCTTTACAGGTGACAAAGAAGATGGTCACCCTCGCCACCCAGCTTCACCATGGCCAAAATATTTGTTTGGCAGAATTAATCTTGGCGAATCTGTACGAGTCGATCAGCAGTGGAGCGACTCTGTTAAAGATCATCGAAAATAGAGCCAGTCTGTTGCTTGCAGGACCTTTTTGGCTACTTCAGCTGTGGCTCAATGCCACTTTCGAGTCTTTCTTACCTCAGAAGACTCAAATAAATGAGCAAGCTCCTGAGATAGCAAATAGGCGTACCGAAGGCACCAGATTAGCTCTATTGACCCCGACTGGAGATGGGCTAGAGCTTCAACAGACTTTTGCAAACTTCGTCTTGATGTTTGAAAAAAGAAAAGAATTTACTTCGACCATGGCTCCCTTCGCTCAACGAAAGGTTGGTCCAGAATGGTTCACCAGGCCCCATCCCAAGTCGTCAGGTGACCCTCAGGTCGAAGAACACACAATAATGTGGGAAGCATTTCTCACACCTAGAATAATGCCACTGCGCTTTAAAAGCTCCAAGACTCACTTGAGCTTGATCGCTTATCAACCAAACTTGGTCTCTCGACAGTTTGGTATCATTCAATCAGTTCCTTCTCCTATTTTTCCTAGGGAGAAATCCATGTTATATTTTTGCAATGACTATACTGAAGATGCTGCCACCAAGCATATTGGCAGGTATGCAGGTCGAACAGTACTTTCACTGTTTGATTATCAACTTAACTTCCTCTGCTCACCATCCTTCGAAGACTGGTGGAAGAGTTACTATGCTGAAGAGTTCTTCGACGAGAAAGACTTTTGGACGAACTTCAGAAGTCTTTCGTTCTAGTCCTTGACAAAATAAAGA